GATCCTGCTCCAGCAGAAGCACAGCTGGCACTGCAGGAGGGCTGAGCCCCCCTGGGATGGGGCTGTGCCACCTCCCTGACCCACAGGCTGCCAGGGTGTATCCCAACTCTTGTCAGTGTTTTTGTATTACTGCATTTTATTCTAATTTTCCTATTAAATTGTAGATCTGACTTGGGATCTCCCACTTTCAAAGCAGCACGATTCCATTTTGGGAAAACTGCCTTATCCCCAGAATCCACTCTGCCCCACACAGGACTATAAACCCCCACCTCTGGGCAGAGCAGGATTTTTCACAGCTGACTGCAAAGCTGCACCCTCGGCAGGCTTGTGGCACGTGCAGGACGGGGAGAGGGACTCCGAGGGGGCTGTGGAGGGTGGGGGGCTCCGGGAGGAAGGAGGGGTTCTTTAGGAAACGGGGGTTTCTTTGGGAAACAGGTGAATTTTTCCAGGAAGTAGGGGGATTTCTTGAGGAAGCAGGTGAGTTTCTCCAGGAGGCAGGGGTATTTCTCCAGAAGGCAGGGGGGTTTTCTCCAGGAAGCAGAGGGGTTTCTTCAGGAAGCAGGTGAATTTCTCTGGGAAGCAGGGGGGTTTCTCCGGGATATTGGTGAATTTTTCCAGGAAGCAGGTAAATTTCTCCAGGAAGCAGGGGGGTTTCTCCAGGAAGCAGGGGGGTTTCTCCAGGAAGCAGGGGGGTTTCTCCAGGAAGAAAGGGGTGTTTCTTCAGGAAGCAGGTGAATTTCTCTGGGAAGCAGGGGGGTTTCTCCAGGAGGCAGTGGGGTTTCTTCAGGAAGCAGGGGGATTTCTCCAGGAAGAAAGGGGGTTTCTCCAGGAAGAAAGGGGTGTTTCTTCAGGAAGCAGGTGAATTTCTCCGGGAAGCAGGGGTGTTTCTCTGGGATATTGGTGAATTACTCCTGGCCCGCCCGCCGTGGGCGCGCTGGTGCCGCAGCAGGTACCCGTGGCGGGCAAAGCCCTTCCCGCACTCGGCGCAGATGAACCACGGCACCGCCGTGGCCTCCAGCTGGCCCTGGTGGTAGAGCAGGAACCGCCTGAACTCATCCAGCTCCTGCGCCGCCAGGACTCTGCCACCGCTCCTCATTCCCACCGGATTTGTTCCCGCATTGTGGCGGCTCCCCGAGGTTTGTGCCAGCTCAGAGCAGTGGCGGCGCGGGGCGTGGGATGCTCTCGAGGATGATCCCTGGGTCACGGCACCACCACGGCCTGGAATAAGGAGATTCCAAACATTCCCTGAGTCTGATGTGACACAACATAAATCTCCAAAGAACAACAATTCCCCCCCCCCCAAAAACCAGGGATGAGCTGGAATCCCCCATCCTTCCAATCCTACCAATTTCAAGGTGCTGCCAGTGAATTCCCACAACACCACACACCTGTGCTGAGGCTGGCAGGAATTTTCCTTTTCTCCAGATCCTGTTCATCCTTGACCTGCACTGCTCCTCCTGCTGGAATATTGCTTTTGGGAACAGGACAGCCTGAACAAGGAACAGAAAGAACATGGCGATGATGGTTATTAATATTTCCCCCTGATGGTTTTCCAGTAAATCCCTGCATCACTCACTCTCTAAAGAGCATTTCTGTTATTCCAGGAAAAGATCAAATGGGGAAGGAAAAGCAGCAGCTGCCCCAGTGTCTAAAGGGGTGTCTGGGATGAACAGGATTTGTGCTCCAATTTTTATAAAATATTCCAGAAATGACACCCAGAAGGTTGAAGATTAAATGTTGAAAAGTGGAAGGTCTCGGATTTGAGCCTTAACCCCAAATTCAGCTGCCTGGTGCTGGATTTTATGGTTCAGTCCTGTCTTTTTGCCAGCTAATTCCTTCTTGTGCAATGCCCCAAATTTCAGAAGGTTCTTCTAAGACTCAATCCAAGGAATTACCTGAATGCTGAGGAGCTAGGGATGGCTCAAAGCTTCAGATTTAAAATATCAGTGACTTCAAGCAAACTATATATACTTGGGCACTTGAAGCTAATTATCAAGATTTCTTCATTTTCTGGGCATCATTCAAGTTATTTCACTATTTCTACATTAAAATAGTTAAATTCTCTTCAGTGAATCCCAAACCCAGACATATACCAGGGTGTGGGAATGAGGAAAACACAACTTCACTGCAATTAATGAGGGCACAGAATTAATTATCCTGTGTGTTGTTGGAACCCTGGCTGCTGAGAATTCTGGACTTTCTGTGCTGGCAGGCACTGACCCCCAGGAGAACACTGCACTGACCTGAGGCCCTGGAGAAGCTTCCAAAATGGAATGACAGAACTGGGATTGTGGGTGTGGAGTTTGAATAGAAGTGTGTGACATCACAGGGTGGGAAACTTAGAGTTTAAGGGTTTAGAATATAGTAATAGATATAAATTTAGGATAGAAGTTTTAGGGCAAAGACTAATCCTTCTTCTTCATGGGTTTGGGTAGTATTGTGTAACTAGACAAAAAAGGTCCACATTACAAGACATAAGTGATTAATTTTTAGGTTAGAAGTAAAAAAAATTTAGGTAAAAAGTAAAAATAATTGTCATTTCTTAATTAGATATTTTTTTCGTTCTAAGACCTTGTAGAGGGACAAATATGGGGCCATTATAACTTGTTAGTGCAATACTGTCGAACTCACGACTTGTAGGACTGTGATACAGATAAGAAACAGTAAACATTCAAGTCCAAATAAAAAATACTGTCTCTGTGAATTTAAAAATAACCCTAACCAAAAAAAAAAAAAAAAAAAAAAAAAAAAAATCAAGAGTGTGTCACTGCAGCTCCTGTATCCAAACCTTTTTAATTCCTTGATCATTGTTTTTATTGGCAGCTGCATTCCCTGGGATCCTAAACTGTCCTTCCACCTTTTAAAGGAAAATTGTGGAGCTTCTTGTTTCTCACAAAGATTCACAAGCACTTAAATATGAATTCTCTAAAAATCAGGGATGTGAGGAGTGAGAAGAGCCAGGCCAGGCCCAGCAGGTGTCCCTTAGGAGAAGGAAAACTCACCTTTTTCCAGTGTGAGCAAAGATCCAAATTTCTCCTTCAGCAATTGCTTATAAAATTCATTCTGCCAATCCTGCAGACGTGGCCACTGAGGAAACATCCCAGAGACCTAAAAAGCAAAATGCTCCAGAGTCAGGGGAGCTGTGAATTCCTGAAAACCTTCTTATCCCAAGAGTTTAAACACGTGGGCACCTCCCTGCTGCTCCCAGTGATGTCTGTGCTATGTGTAAGCAGCATATTAATGAAGGATTTTACATAAGAACCTTCTCCTGCTAATCCAGAATGAGAGAAAAGGCTTTAAAGCGATGTGACTCACCCAGAACAATGATTTTCTCCAACAACTGGGTCAGAAATTAGTCATAAAACCAAATATCTGTGGTCAGCATCCACACCCAGCCCCCTCAGGGAACGTGGTTCTTCCTTCAATGTAAAATATAATAATTCAGTGTTTTAAATAAACCCTGAGACAGAGCCACGATCTGTCAGACCGGCTGGAAAGTCTCCTCTCTGGTAATGAAAGCTTATTATTAGGGAATAACAACATTATTATTATTAATTAAACCCTCTAAGGGATATTTTCCCAAGCTGCTTCCAAGGCTTTACACACAAATCACCCTTTAATTTAATGCATTCCCACTATCCAGCCCCACAATTACCCTGCAGGGCTCGGAATTCCGGATCCGTTTTCGGCTCTTGTTGCTCAGCACGTCGGCGAAAACCCGCGGGGTCCCCACGAGCCAGGTCCCGTCCAAGGCCAGGATGAATTTGTTGGGAACGGCTTCCTTCAGCAGGCGCCGTCTCTTCCTGTGGATTTGCACGGGGGGCGTCTCGAAGGAGCTCTCCTCGAAGTGCTCCGAGCACAGGCACTGGTATTTGGAGGGGGTCTCCATGTCCCGGCCCATGTTTTGGAGCCACTGCCTCAGGAGGGCTTTGTTGTGGAGGGGGAACTTGTAAAAACTGACCGAGCTGTTCTTGTAGAGCCCGCTGGTGCCGTTCCGGCAGTTCAGGGCCGCGCAGTAACCCATAGGCACGCACCAGGAAACAGGGGGAAAACCCCCAAAAACACACCAGGGAGAAGCTTCAGGGAGTTCCCAGTCAACCTCAGTCCCAAACAGGTCTGCATTTCTCTGAAAAGACCATGGTTTTGGCAAAGAGGAGATGAGGTGTTGAGTGAAACACGGGACTGAACTTCCCACGGGAGCTCCACAAGGAGAGGAGCCAGGTGTGTCCCAGCTGCTTCAAATCAACGACCTGAGAAGGGAAAAAAAGCTTTAAAATCAGCTTAATGTCCACTGAATATGCAGATTTACATTTAATTAACCACTGTGGTATGCACACGGAGTGAGCTCCGTTCATTTCTGTATCCAGGAGGAATCCCGGGCTCCAAAGGTTATCCAGCACACAGCACAGGGCTGAGAGACAAATGACTCCCAAAAAATGAAAGTTTGGGCTGTACCAGAGACTCAGAGTCTCAGGGGTGCCCATAAGTGAGGAGATCCTTGGACAGGAACACTGAAAAAGGGAATAAAGCATCCAGGGATCCTGCTGCATCCTGCTCTGAAGGAAGATCCCAAGGTTTGAGGACACCCGGGGTTAAAAAGAAACAAAGATCAGAAAGTCCAAAAAAAGCTCCCAGAGCCTGATTATTAAATTAAACACTCAGCATGGAAATTGGTATTTTTGTTCTTATCTTCTGTTAATGAGAGAAATAAAAGAATAAAAAAGAGGGGAGAGAGAGAGGGAGACCAGATGGGAGAGGGAAGGAGATCACCAGACCCAGCTCTAGCACTAATCAGGTTCTGAGGGCACATTTTCACAGGTATTCACAATTCCACCGGGAATTAGGTTTCTCCTTTTTCATGTAAATGGGTGAGGATGCAGTCCCTTCTCCCAGAGCTTTCTGGAAATGGGCTTTGGGGCTCTTGATCACCTCTCCTGGATCAATCTTTGGCTGTGCCCCTTTCCCGACCCCATTCCTGCACTGCCATTCCCCACTGCCCTTATCTCCACGGGGCAGAAGGGAAGCGGCCGCAGGAGGTGCAGCCCCACCTCCGTTTTCCTCCTTTCCCAAACCACATCCTGTCCTACCGTGCTGCTTACGGGGGCTTGGGACACAGCAGCACAGCAGCTCCGTGGGGCCCGGGTGTCCCCAGGTCCCCAGCACGGGGAGGGCAGGGACAGAGCGAGTCCAGAGGAGGCCACAGGGCTGCTCCAGGGCTGGAGCTCCTTTGCTTTGGAGCCAGGCTGGGAGAGCTGGGAATGTTCCCCTGGAGAGGAGAAGCTCCAGGGAGAGCTCAGAGCCCCTCCAGGGCCTGAAGGAGCTCCAGGAGAGCTGGAGAGGGACTGGGGACAAGGATGGAGGGACAGGACACAGGGAATGGCTCCCACTGCCAGAGGGCAGGGATGGGTGGGATATTGGGAAGGAATTCCTGGCTGGGAGGGTGGGAAGGGCCTGGCACACGGTATCCAGAGAAGCTGTGGATGTTCCCTGAAGTGTCCCAGGCCAGGCTGGACAGGGCTGGGAACAGCCTGGGACAGTGGAAGATGTCCCTGTCCATGGCAGGGGTGGCACTGGATGGGCTTCCAGGTCCCTTTCAACACAAACCGCTCCAGCCCAGCCCCGCTTTCACCGCCTGCACATGCCGGGGCTGTCTGTGCCTCTCCCCGTCCCACAGCTGTGGGGGAAAGCGGGTGGCAGCGCTGCCCTCGGGGGGCAGGGGCCCTTGGGACGGCTCCGGACACGGCCCCCGCCACGCAGCGCCGCCATCTTCCTCAGCCACGCCGAGCCGCACCAACCAATCATAGGCGGTGTCGCGGCAGCAGCAGCCAATCAGAACCCAGCTCTGACCATTTCTCCCACGTCATTGGCCCGCCGGGTCCGCCCAGCCCCCGGCAAGTCGCGGCCTCCACGAGGAGAGGGCGGGAGGGACGCTCATCCCCATTGGTCAGCGCGCGGGGAAATCAGGAAGCTGATTGGACGAGACGAGAAGGGAGGCGGAGATTGCGAGCGGCGTCCATCGTCGTCATGGCAACGGCGGCGGGGCCGAAACCGCGGGAGACTCGCGGAGCACCGGCCGCAGGTCGGGACCGGAGCCCCGGGATTCCCTTACCGAGCACCGGCCACGGGTCGGGACCGGAGCCCCGGGATTTCTCACCGAGCACCGGCCGCGGGTCGGGACCGGAGCCCCGGGATTTCTCACCGAGCACCGGCCACGGGTCGGGACCGGAGCCCCGGGATTCCCTTACCGAGCACCGGCCGCAGGTCGGGACCGGAGCCCCGGGATTTCTCACCGAGCACCGGCCGCGGGTCGGGACCGGAGCCCCGGGATTTCTCGCCGAGCACCGGCCGCGGGTCGGGAGCGGAGCCCGGGATTCCCTTACCGAGCACCGGCCACAGGTCGGGACCGGAGCCCCGGGATTTATCACCGAGCACCGGCCGCGGGTCGGGAGCGGAGCCCCGGGATTCCCTTACCGAGCACCGGCCGCGGGTCGGGAGCGGAGCCCCGGGATTCCCTTACCGAGCACCGGCCGCGGGTCGGGACCGGAGCCCCGGGATTTCCTCTCCAATACCGGTTGGACGCGGGATTCGCAGCCTCGGAGCGCGGTCCCGGGCCGGGGGAGCGGAGGAACCCCCCCCGCCTGGAGCGCAGGCGGACCCCGGGACCGGCCCCCGCCTCCCCGCCCGTTTCCCCCCAAGGACTCGAAACCTGGGATTTGGGGGGTGGAAGCCGCTGAGTTCCTCCTGTTTTCAGCCTTTCTCCTCCCTTCTCTCCCGCTGCAGAATGACCCGTGGCACTCGACAATTTTAATTAAAACCCCTGAAATTTCGAGCCAAGGACTCAAAACATCCGGACACAACTCAAGCAGAAACACGCACGCAAAAAAGGTCCTTTAAGGAAAAGGAGCTCTGACCCCAAACATGCTCTTCCCTGACTCTGTTTCTCTATTTCTACCCCACGGCGACACCGACAAAGTGACAGGCGACAAATCCAGACTCTACTGAGTAAAATGAATAAGGCCACGACATAATCCCGTGAGAAACCCTGAACACGAGCAAAAGGTCTCGGAAGGAGGATGTTTAACGAGCAGTACCGTGTCCCACTCCAAGGGAGGGAAATTCCTCAGGCGTGGAGATGCCCAGGGTCCAAAGGGAATGACAAACAGAAGGTCACGAAAGAGCTACAAAGTTTGATTAGTAAATTTTACACTTGGCATGGGAATTGCGATGAGTTAGCACCTTATCTTCTATTAGTAAATGAAAAAGGAAGGAGGGGAGAGGTCAGGGAACATCACCAGTCCTGGCTCCAGCGCCGACCCGGGTCTCCAGGGTGTGCAGGGTCCCCAGGATGCTGTGGGGGCACCTTCTTATGGGTCAATTTTCCCCGCCCCGCTATCAGGTTTCCCACTTCCCATGCAAATGAGCGTGCGCAATCCTGCTGCTGGACCTTTCTGGAATTGGGTCGGGGGGCTTTGAGGGCTTGTGGTGATCTCGATGCTCCTCTGCAAATCTCCCTGCTCGCTTCCCCGCTGGCCTCGTCCCGTGTTTGTGGGGTCTCCGCGTCCCCAGGAGGATTTGGAACAGCACTGGTTAATCTGCCATGCCCTCCTTTCCAACCACATCCTTTTCTGTCCCGCTCCTTATCAGTGTTCAGGGCACAGCCTTAACTCCTTGGAGCCTTAGCTGCTACAAGTGCACAGATCAGAGAACCGCTTGTGTCCCCTGAAGAACGGGATGGAAACTCGCGGTGATCCCGAGAACCGGGCAAAGGGAATTCCTTACGTCCTCCAACAGCCCCGCTCGGGGGTGCAGCGGGAAATGCCTCACCAAAAGCGATCCCGTTCGACCCGATCCAGGTTCGTTTGCAAGAGCATCCCGAGCGCCGTGGATGGAAACAATCCGGAGCCTGAGGCCGGGAACTGCCCGAGCTTTCCAAAACAAAGGCCACAGTGAGGGACACAGCAGGAGCCGACCATCCCACTTTTCTGTTTAGGTTGTGAGGTGAGAAAAGCCCGGAGAGGGGGTGGAATTCCTTTGTTTGAGGTCCCGGCGTGGAAGCACCACCTTGAGCTGTTACCCGGCCATTGTATCAAGATTAAATTAGTGCAAGGATCCAGCTGGCCGAGGCTCTGCAAAGGGAAATCTGGGATGGAAACCTGTGTGAGTGTGGTGTGGGATCAATCAGAGACCCATGGGCTCACAGGAGCCCATCTCAGCTCAGGTAATGCTCATCTGTGACTCCACAGTGGCTCTCGGATGGGCAGACAGGGAAATTTCCTTAACAGCCACACATCCAGCAAGTGGAATCTTATCCATGCAGCCAGAATAAAGGTCTGGACATTCACATTCCAGCTGGTTCTCATCAACAATTAATAAAAAAATTTAATAGACACGGAAGCGCAATGTCCAGTATTAACACAGCAGCATGTTGGTGTAGGACCCGGAGGGTAAAGAGTTAAAATCCCTGGGGCAAATCCCCCTGTGCCAAACTGCTCAGGTTAATTTACGGCTCCTGGGTGAGAAGCAGAAATCTGCCAACCTTAACCCCAAAAGAATTCCAGAGGCTACAGCCACTGACTCCTTGGTTTAAAATTAAAGTACCAGAATGGCAAATTCCTGCCGTGGCAGGAATGGGAATTTCTGGAGTTGCAGATGAGTTGGCCCCAGTAAGAGCTGTGGGTCCCAACACCGTGCAGGCAGTGCCCTGGGGTGTAGCAATCCGGACATCAAAGAGTTAAAAGCTACTGTGTCCCAGACCTGGGTAACAAGGGACAAACTAGAATAAGGTGTGGCTGCAGAGGGGGACCCTCAGAAATTTTCAACCCCTCTGGTTTTTCCAATTTTGGGCTTGGCTTCCTCCTTTTCTTCCTTAACTCTTTCTGCAGTTGCTCAGTTTTCACTGACAGCAATAATTCAGCTCTTTTCCTCCCTTTCATTTCCTTTCTGGGGTCTTATTTCTCTCTACCGTGCTTTTTCCTATCTAAATTCTCAAATAATTCTCTTTCTCTGTGTTCTACTGAAGCAAGTAGAGTCCCAGGCTGGTCATTTTTCAGGTCCATGTTTATCACTTTGGATTCTGTAGAAGGCCAGGAGATAAAGGGGTGTGTCTCAGCTGTGCAGCCAGCCAAGGGCTGTTGTATAACACATGGAATGGGGAACTACAGGATGTGGCTGGCAAAGGGGGGCACACGGAGCAGGCACAGCTCTTTTTTTGGGACAAACACCCATGTTCTGGCTCCTGGAGATAAGCACAGCATGCACAGCACAGGGCATGGAGCATCCAACAAAGGCTGATCAATCAGGGGGGATCAAAACCACCAGAGACCCCCCTGACCCATTCCTAAGAGGATCCAGAGGTATGGACTGTGTCTGCTGACTTGTTTGCATCAAAAGTGAAAAAAGTAGTCCCAGGGTGTGGGAAACTTGGCTGTAAAAGGGTGATCCAAGGCTCACAGGGCACCTCTGGGATCCTGGACACAGCTGGATCAATGCCACAGCCAGGACTGGGGATGTCCTCCCCTTTGTCTCTCTGATCTCCCTCTCTCTTCCCTCTTTTCTTTAACCTTTTTATTTATCTTCCTACCAGAAGATAAGGGTAAAAACACCAATTCCCAGGCTGAGAGTGGAATCTGCTATTAAAACTCTGTGAGCTTTTTTTGACTGTTCTAACACCTGTCTTTCCTTTTTGACCACAGGCATCTACAGACTTTGGGAACTTCTTTCCTCTTGGGAGTGGGACACACAGAGCCCAGGGAGGAGGCTGGAGGAGCAGAGCTGCCCTACCTCCACACGGCCTCCTCTCCAGCAGATCCTGTCATCAGTGTTTGGGACACAGCAGCTCATTAACTCTGCGTTTCCCAGATTTCTGCAGCATCTCCATGTTCTGCTTTCACAGGATTTGGAGAACTGAACAAACGCAGAAGACAGTGAACAATGTGGGAAAAGAAATGCAACACAACTTCAAGGCTATGCAAAATGAAAACCATATTCCAGGCTCCGTGGCCATTTTATAGCTCCCAGGGAGGCTCTCAGCCTTCAGGAATTCTCCGTTTGGGTTTCAAAGTGAGGAGCCCCAGGATTTAACAGTGGGAATAAGCTGCCTCCCAGGCTCTGCAGCCTTCTGTTTTGCCACAGGAGAAAGAGGTTTCCTCCTACAGCCACAGGGGCAACACTTCCTTTCCCAAAGCACCTCACCCAAATGTGTGTTTCCTGACACCCTTACACTCCTTTAGTGGACAATTAACACCTTTAACTCACTTGTTCCCAGCCCAGTCTAAGGACTCCGGACTCATGGAATAACATTTTGGGTAATTTCTCTCTATTCAGACACCTCTTCTTTGCAACACACACCACAAATTGTTCCATGTCAACGTGGTTTCTCTCCCACATGGACTCACAGCCAGCAGTACCTCCGAACTCCACCTCCTCAAATCCACAGGCACTGGTGAATGCTAACACTGAAAATAACCCCCAGCCAGCTCCTTTTTCCTGGGAGAGGCTCGGGATGGCTGCACCACAGCCTCCTCCTGCCATCAGGCTCTGGCACAGAGCTGGGGGTGCTGCCCTGGCCCAGCGAGGATCCACCAAGGGGGTGTGGGGGATGTCCTATATGGAATGCATCACGGAGCCCCTGATGTTCCTGCAGGGCCAGCTGACCAGCGGCACGTGGGTGTCCTGCATGTGACCTTCCTGATGCTTCAGCAGGCTCCTCTTGAGCACAAATCTTTTGCTGCAGAGAGGACACTGGAAAAGCCTCTCTCCCGTGTGCCGGCGCTGGTGATTCAGGAGGTAATCCTTCCTCCTGTAGGTTTTGTCACACTTGGAGCACTTGTAGGGCCTCTCTCCTGTGTGACTTGTCTGGTGCCTAACGAGCCACGAATGGCAAACAAAGTTTTTCCCACAGTCGCTGCAAATGTAGGATTTGCCCCGGCCCTGGCTCTGCTGCTGGGCAGGGCTGCCCCGGGCCAGGGGCGGCTCCCAGCAGGGGCTGGATCCCGATGTGTCCGTGGGGAAGCTCTCCTCGTTTCCAGCAGCTTCCTCTGTGCCCAGGCTGTCCTGGCCACGGGGCCTGCCTGTGCCCAGGGGTGTCTCTCCACACTCAGAGCGGGGTCCTGGCCCCTCACAGGAAGTGGGAGCAGCTCCAGGACCCATTCCTGTCTCTCCCAGGCCCATTCCTGTCTCTCCCGGGCCCATTCCCACCTCTCCTGGGTGTGGGTGAAGCAGAGGGAACATCCTCTCATACATGGGGCCTGGAAACATCTCCCCTTCTCCCTGCAGTGCCTGAGGCTGGTCCTGCTGTGGGCAGCTCCTCTCACACTTGTACACACAGGGCCTCTTTTCCAGGCTCTTTTCCTGAGTGCTAAAGAAATCATACTGAACATCACCCCCAAGGCTGCTCCCATTCCCTGTGGTGGCTGTTTCCATTATTTCTGAATTCCAGTGACTGTCCCATGTCACTCCATGGCTGGGATCTTTGGGAAACGACTCTCCCGGCTTTCCTGGTACCTCTAAGTCACAGGTCTTGCTCTCCACGCAGTCTGCTGGAGGGTCCCTCTTCAAATTTTTGTCTGAAACAGAGAATTCAGAGATTTTTTTAATTCAGGAGTCCCCTTAGGAATGTCCCTCCCAGCCCAAAGCCAAATCTTTAATACTGAGGGAGGAACAAAGTACCAGCATCCACTGAAACAAAATTTCCAGGAAAACAGGACTTTTTTAAACTGTATTTTTTAAAATCTACATAAATAATGACTGCTGCAGTCTCAGATTCATCCTCTCACTCAGATGACAGAGCAGACACTGTCCCACCTCAGTATTCCCAGCTGCTCTCCAGACACTCTCCTGAGCATCTCCAGGAGCAGAGTCCAAGCAGGGCCCTGAGCTAGCTCAGCAAGTCACAGAACTATGGGATCTCCTGAGCTGGGAGACACCCGCAAGGATGGAGTCCAACCCTTGGCCCTGTGTGGACACCCCAACCATCCCACCCCATCTCTGAGAGTGTTGTCCAAATGCTCCCTAAGCTCTGGCAACCTCGGGCATGTGCCAATTCCCTGGGGAGCCTGTTTGGTGCCTAACCATCCTCGGGGGAAGAACCTTTTCCTGATATCCAACCTAAACCTCTCCTCCTGAGCTTATCAGAAGCACCCTCTGCTCCCAGGAACTCCTGCTGTCTAAGAAGCACTTACTTTTTAATGAACAGCCTCAGAACCTATTTTTCTTGCCTGAATAACAACCCAAGTGGAGTAATATTTTTGTCATGGAACTTTCAAAGAAAGTCACTGACTCGAATTGCAGCCAGGATGGAAAATCACTGATAAAAGCCCATTCTCTTGTGATCCTATAAACTGTGGTCCAAAGTGAGACTCAGTGAGGTCCCAATTGCCAGAAAATAAAGGAATGTGTGTCCCAAACACTGGTACCTGGATGGCCATGGAGCCATGAGAAAGAACAAGATTTGGCTGGAGAACGGGTGCCATATGGAGATAAGGCAGCAATTTCTGGGACAGACATGCACAACACAGAGCAAAGGCAGGAATGAGGTCAGGAAGTGGGAATGGATTATAGGGAGGAGATCAAGACCACCAAAAATCCCCAGAGCCTCCAAACCATTTCCAGAAAGGCCTGGAAGAACTGACAGCATGGAAAATGAGAAATTTATTTTCAGGGCAGGGAATCCTGGCCATAAAAAGGACTGAGGTCTCCTCCATCCCCTCATCCACATCACTGATAAAGACATCAAACACAATGGCCCCAGTATGTCCCCAACTCTGGGGACACCACTGGTGACTGGCCACCAGCTGATGTCACTCCTTGCCCAGCACTGTGTGGGCCTAGCCCTCAGCCAGGTTTTTATTCAGATAAAAGCAGCACAGACTCCATCCATACAGTTCTGGGCTTGTCTCAACACAAGCCAGTGTCTCTGACAGCTTTGGGCTGGCTCAAGAGGGAAGGAGCCTCTTCAGCTGACAGAACTCAAAATTTTTGTGACCAAATATTAACCAGCAAACTGAGATTTGTCCCAGTTCTCTCATGGTTAACACTGTAAGGTTGTGACATTTCATACAGTATCAAAAAATACTAAAATAGTATTAAAATATTAAAAATAATATTAAAATAGTATTCATATAGTATTAAAAAATACTCTAAACTGGATTTACTGTCCCCAAAATCCCAGCTGAAATCCATTACTGACCTGTACTTGGATCTGCAGAGATTTCCTCTTTCTCCAAATCCTGTCGTTCAGAGCAGGGTGGCTCCTCCTCTCGTTTAATCCACGATGAAACATCCCTTGCATAAGTCTGAAATCCTGTTCATTGGGGAGAATTTACACAACTGAGAAACACCAGGGGAAGCCACAAAGCCTGGATAATTTGGGAACGAGCAAAGGTAACAAAGCAGCATGGAAGGCAGAACAGGAAGAGCCATTAAGGGGTAATTCCCGCAGGGGAGTTTTTGGTTTTTGGCAGATCCTCACCTGTGGCAGGATCTCTCCGGAGGTCCTCACCCTCTGTGCCTGGCAGCTCCCTGGCATCCACCTCGTTGCCTTTCCCGGTCTGACTGGATGCCTCAGGCTCGTAAAATCCTTGCTCTGCTAAGGGAGGAAGTCCAGGAGAAGTGTATCATACCTGCCTAAACTCAGGATTTCACAAGGCTGAAAACCTGCTCTGGTCTGGGCTTTGTTTGGAAGTTGTTACCCCAAGCCAAGCTCCCCTAAGCCCAGTTTCTTAAGAAAACCTTTGGAAAGGTTTAAAAATCCCAGCTGGCTACAAACACAGGAAGCCAAGTACAGTTCTAGTGGAGCCAACAGGCAGCACTACTACCTTTGCAAAGAGTGAGGAAAATCTTCAAAGCAGAGCAGCTCATTTGTAAAACAAAGAGGTTCCAAGTGAGCCGCAAAGAACAGGGCCCTGGGCTCTGCAGCCTTTCAGAGGAGTCTCTGTGCTCCTTACCCAGGAAAAACCCCAGAAGGGAGGAAGGAAAAGGCAACCTGAAGGAATTCAGGGAGATCCACACTTGGATAAAAACCACCCATGCAGCCACAAACTCCAAAATGTCTGTGAGAAGGGAAAGGGGCAATACCAGCCCTTGCCTGTTGGATCTGCTGGCAAGTCTGCTCAGAACTTCTTAAAGATTTGGAATACATGAGCAGAGGTGGGGAATTTAAGCACACAACCTGGAATTTAATCACTCTGTTTAATTTTCCCTCTGAGGTATGCAGTTAGTCACCTGGGCAGGGCTCTCCAGGAGCTTCTGCAACCTCCTCCTCCCGATCTGCAGTGCACAACTCTTCCTCTTGCTTAATCTGGATTATGCTGTCTTCTGTTAACAGGAACCAGTATTATTTTAACACCATACAAAATTAATTCCAATTGCCAGCCCAGCCCAGGCAGATCTGCTCTGTTCTAGCTCACATTCCGGAGAAAACCTCGCTCCAGTTCCTGTTCCTGCTGACCAAGGCCTCTTAAACAGACCTGAAATGTTGGTTACAAAACCCTCAGCAGATGTTTGAGCCTGAGAAATGCACAAATTTTTCATGCAAGTGAAAACACGTTCTCCATGGCCCCAAGAGAGGCCAGAGCCACTTGAATTCTTGTCCTTGAGTTTTGTTTCTCTCTTGGTGCCGCCAGAGTTCTGTTGTTTCTTTTCAATCCCTCTCAGTCACACACCACTTCTCACCCATCAGAAAAACATTCATGAGAACAGAGTTCTTAGAGAAATTTACTCAAGTAATGAAAGGTATAGAAAAAAGAAAAGTCTGTAGAGTAAATAAAGCAAAGCAGACGAGCCAGTGCTCTGCACCTTTACAGTGCAGACATGGCAGAGGGGAGTGGTGGATTTCCTAGGAGAGGGAAAAAAGGTGTGATGGAACATCTTGGAAAGGCTGGTGGGGATAGAATGCCTGATAGAAGCAGTTGGAAGACCAAACTCAGCACAGCTAGTGCCTTGGAGAGATGCTGGTCACAGAATTGTGAAATTGTTGAGGTTGGGAAAACCCTTTAAGGCCATTGAATCCAACCATTCCCCCAGCACTGCCAAGGCCACCACTGACCATGTCCTCAAGTGCCACATCCACAGGGATTTTAAATCCCTCCAGCAGTGGGGACTCCACCACTGCCCTGGGCAGCTGGGCTAGGGCTGGACAGACTTTTTGGGTAAAGAATTTTCCCAGTATCCAATGAAACCTCCTCTGGCCCACCCTGAGGCTGTTCCCTCTCCCCCTGTCCCTGTTCCCTGGAGCAGAGCATGGCACCCTGGCTGTCCCTTCCTGTCAGGAGCTGTGCAGAGCCACGAGGTCCCCCCGATCCCATTTTCTCCACACCAAAACACCACCCAGATGTCCCCAGATCCTGGCAGGTGCTCTGTGTCCCACCTCCCTCTCCCACCATGGCCCCTGACACCACTCACCGGAGCCGGTCTCTGCGGGATTCCCTCTCACATCCCGGTCCTGGCAGCTCCGAGCCCCGGGCCGGTTCCTGCCCTCCGCCGGGGTCGGGGCCCCGTGTCCAGCGGCGTCCGGCCCTGCGGGGAATGGCGGCTGAGGGGCGGCCAGGGGGCACCGTGGGGCTTCTCTGGCTCCCACCGTGACCCCGGCCGCCCTTACTGATCCTGGCCACACGCGCACCTGCACCTTGTCCACAGCGCTCTGTGGGGGAACAGAGCTCTCCTCAGAGCTGTGAGGGATCGGGGTCCATCTGAGCCATGAGGGAACAGGGTCCCCCTCAGAGCTGTGAGGGATCGGGGTCCATCTGGGCCATGAGGGAACAGGGTCCCCCTCAGAGCTGTGAGGGGTTGGGGCTCACCCAGAGACATGAGGGAAGAGGATCCCCCTCAGAGCCGTGAGGGATTTGTGTTCAGCCAAAGCCATGAGGGAACAGGATCCACCTCACAGCTGTGAGGGATTGGGGACCACACAGAGCCATGAGGGAACAGGATCCTCCTCAGAGCTGGGAGGGATTTGGGGTCCACCCGGAGCCATGAGGGAACAGGATTCTCAGAGCTGTGAGGGATTTGGGCTCACGCAGAGCTGTGAGGGAACAGGATCCCCCTCAGAGTGGTGAGAGACTGGGGTCCACCCGGAGCCATGAGGGAACAGAATCCCCCTCAGAGCCATGAGGGATTTGTGTTCAGCCAAAACCATGAGGGAACAGGATCCCACTCAGGGCTGTGAGGGATCGGGGTCCATCTGGAGCCATGAGGGAAGAGGATCCTCAGAGCTGTAAGGGATTGGGGCTCACGCAGAGCCATGAGGGAACAGGATCCTCAGAGCTGTGAGGGATTGGGGTCCACCCTGAGCCATGAGGGAACAGGATCCCACTCAGGGCTGTGAGGGATTGGGGTCCACCCCGAGCCATGAGGGAAC